ATCTGATAGGTTACTAGTATCCAGAATACATAAAGAATTTCTACAACTCAACAACAAAAAACAAACAACTCAATTTTTATTTATTTATTTATTTTTATTTTATATATTTTTTGGAGACAGAGTTTCACTCTTGTTGCCCAGGTTGGAGTGCAATGGAGGCGATCTCAGCTCACTGCATCCTCCGCCTCCCAGGTTCAAGCAATTCGCCTGCCTCAGCCTCCCAAGTAGCTGGGATTACAGGTGTGCACCACCATGCCCAGCTAATTTTTGTATTTTTTAGTAGAGATGGGATTTCGTCATGTTGGCCATGCTGGTCTCAAACTCCTGACTTCAGGTGATCCACCCACTCAGCCTCCCAAAGTGCTGGGATTACAGGCGTGAGCCACTGTGCCCGGTTTTCAATTTTTAAATGGGCAAAGGACTTGAATAGACATTTCTCCCAAGAAGATATACAAATGTACAATTAGCACATGAAAAGATGCTCTACATCATTAGCCATTAGGAAAATGCAAGCCAAAACCACAATGAGATACATCTCACGCTCACTAGAATGGCTGTAATCAAAAAGGGAAAATAACAAGTGTTAGCAAGGATGTGGAAAAATTGAAACCCTTATATATTGCTGAGAGGAATGTCAAAGATGCAACCATTTTAGAAAAACAGTTTAGCATTTTCTCAAATAAACATGGAATTACCATATAACCCGGCAAATCCACTGCTGGGTATATATATCCAAAATACAAAATTTGTACATGAGTGTTCACAGCAGCACTATTCACAATAGCCAAAAGGTGGAAACAACCCAAATGTACATCCATTGATGAAAGGATAAACAAAATGTGGAGTATATATACAATGGAATACTATTTAGCCACAAAAAGAAATGAAATTTTGATGTATGCTACAACATGGATGAACCTTGAAGGCATGATGCTTAGTAAAATAATCCAGACATAAAAGTACAAATATTGTGTGATACCACTTATATGAGGTATCTAGAAGAGGAAAATTCACAAGACAGAAACTAGATTAGAAATTACTAGGGCTAAGGGGAGACAGGATAGAGAGTTACTGCTTGATGTTTATAGAGTTTTTGTTTAAAATAATGAAAAAGTTTTTGGAAATAGATAGTGGTGATGATTGCAAAACATTGTGAATGTAATTAATGCCATGAAACTGTACATTTCAAAATGGTTACAATGGCTAACATTATATTGATTTTACTATAGTTTTAAAAAGTTAATAATTTAATATATCAAAACCCATTGAATTGTACACTTTAAATGGATGAATTGTCTGTGTAAATGGGTGAACTATATCTCAATAAGGCCGTTTTTTAAAAAAGGAATGACATATTGATGAATTTACTACAACATGGATGAACCTTGAAAACATTATGCTAAGTGAAATAAGCAAATCACAAAAGAGCACATATTATATTATTTCATTTATATGAAATATCCAGAATAGGCAATTCTATAGAGACAGAACATATATTAATGGTTTCCTGGGGCTGGGAGGAATTGGGGAGGGGGTAAGGAAAGTCACTGCTAACAGGTGATAAAAATATTCTAAAAGTGATTTTGGCAATAGTTGCACAATTCTGTGAATATGCTAAAAACCATATAAGTGTACACTTTAAATGAATGAATTGTATGATATGTGAATTATTATTTCACTAAAGCTGTTTTTTTGTTTTTGTTTTTGTTTTTCAGATGGAGTCACGCTCTGTCGCCTAGGCTGGAGTGCAGTAGCACCGTGTTGGCTCACTGCAAGCTCTGCCTCCACTATGCACTACTAAAGTCCTGCACCACTAAAATCCCCCTCTTAGATGATAAAAACAATCTGTGATCATCTTTGCACTTGTACTTTTGCTGCAAATGGACAGGGTGCCCCCAAGGTCTGCCAATCCCTGAGGGGCCCAGCCCAGCAGAGGAAAATGGGCCTGTCTCAAGCACATACATACACATTTACCTCCCCTCTTGCCACCCCCCAAGCTTCCAGTTGTCTTAATTGGCCTCCAAAAGAGAAACATTTCATTGAAGGGCCCTAATTAATCCCTAGGAATCTGGGTCCCCACATTCTCCTCTCACCCCACCCCAACTCCCCAGTTATTTGTTCCAGACAAAAAAAAAACAACTTTGTAGACTCCCCAAGGAAAGAGAAGCCTTAGGAGAGGGCCACATGTACGGTCTGTGCTGGGTGTTGTAATGAGGCCCCAGGAGGCCCTTCCTCACCAGGGGCCCAGCACTTGAAAGTGAATGCTGAGTGCTCTTCCCTCACACCTGCAGGAGAGTTCCAGCAGCATGCCCACAGCCACCTTTACCCCACATTACAGGCATTTCTGCTCTCACCTAGCTCCTCACAGGCGTCTCTGTTCATACAGCTCTGTATGTCCTGCAGTTCTGGAGGCATGGTCTGGGTCACTGCCATGACAGAGTGTCCCTGCTGGAGACGGTTCTGCCCTCACAAGGGCCACCTCACCCACCCTGCTTATCTTTCAAGGACCAGGGCAATCGTTCCTCTTTGAAGTCTTAGCCAAGTGCCAGACAAGCTGCCTCACCCTCTCTGGGGGCATCCATGGTTTGTGGTTCCTGGCAGAGTTCTTAGCACTGCAGGCTCTGGAGCAGAACTGGCAGTGTATGTATTACACTCCCTGGACAGATCGCAGATCCATAAGCATGGGGAAGCCAGATCTGAGGCAGAGGCCTCAATGTCAGTTCTGCTGTAGTGCTGTCTTTACTCCGAAGTGGAATGTTCTGTGGTGTGCTCATAGCTGTTATTTTAAAATGGGGTCTATACTCAAATAAAATTGTGAACCAAGACATGAAAGTTTCGTTACTACTTGTTAATATACATTGTGAATCTCTAAGAAGGTGACGGTTCTTACGTAACAGTTCCTAGACTTTTTTTGACTATAGGATCTTTTTTATTCCTGAGCATCTTACAGGATCAGTATTCTACGGAATCATTCTGGGAAACTCTGACCTAGATTACAACTCACATGTACCCAGACCAACTGGGGGAAAATTTAGAGCTTCGCCTCATACTGTACACCAGAACAAACCCAAGATGAGTTAAATAATTAAATGTAAAAATGAAACTATGAAAACTAAATGAGGAAAAAAATGAAAGGAAAATGTAAGCAGGGCCTTTGGATTCCCAAGCCTGGCACTGAGCCTTGCCACTGTGCTCGATAATTATTCATGGAATAAACACAGGGTTTATGATGTCACTGGTGGACATGCTATGTAGGTAACATTCATTTTTGCTTTTTTTTTTTTTTTTGAGATGGAGTTTCACTCTTGTTGCCCAGGCTGGAGTACAATGGCACGATCTCGGCTCACTGCAAGCTCCGCCTCCCGGGTTCAAGTTATTTTTTCTCTTGCCTCGGCCTCCCAAGTAGCTGGGATTACAGGCATGTGCCACCACACCCAGCTAATTTTTTTGTGTGTTTTTAGTAAAGACAGGGTTTCTCCATGTTGGTCAGGCAGGTCTCGAACTCCTGACCTCAGGTGATCTGCCCGCCTTGGCCTCCCAAAGTGCTGGGATTACAGGCGTGAACCACCGCACCTGGCCAATTTTGCTTTTTAAATAGGCTGCTTTAGCTTAGATGAACAAGTTTCCATTTTGGCCAAATTCCTCCTATGAAATTGCATCTAAGAAACTAATAACCTCGTACTTGGGAAAGCTCCCTAATGGTGCGACTTAATGTGGCCACCAATTGTGCCTGCTCTTTACTACAGAGGCATGAAATAGCCTTTCATTCAAAGCAGTGATTTCAGACCTGAGTCCATGGTTCTGATGGTTGGCTGGGAGGTGGAGAGGGACCAACTCACACAGGCTCTTCCTCAGGCAGAAGCCAGTCTTTCTGACCAAGAAGTCATCCTCTTAAAAGGTCCTGTGGGCCTGGGCCTCAGAAACAACCCATGAGGTCACATGTATCCTAAGCTCCTAACTGGCCACCCTCACCTGTGGGTACCCAGGAGCCTGAATACCTCACGTCCTGTATCTGCAGTTGACCACGAATTCCTGCCAATTCTACCTCTACAACATCCTTGCCTTCCTCTCTACCCACATCACTGCAACGATTTAGCCTTATCTACTCCCTGCTTAAGGGTCTCTATCTCCCATCTTCTGGCCTGTGAGGTATGAGAGGTCAAAGACCAAGTGTCCCTGATACCCAGCAGAGGAGCTCATGTTTCTGAATGGGTGGGTGGCTGAACCTGGCAGGGGCAATTCCTCATCAGAGACGGAAATCAGGTTGGGAACTTCAGCAAAGGCAAGCCCAAGAGAAGGAAGGAAGTTGAGCCTCTTCCTAGTGAACTGGTGCCTATACAATGCCATGAAGCTGTCAATGGCTAACACTTATAACTCTAATACTGATGTCATCAGGATGGAGACTCCCCAGCCCCAAGCCTGCATGAGCAATAACTTTCTGGGAAGAAATGCCAGCCAGTTATATATATCACCTTCTCCATGGGCAGAGGCCAGCAACCAGATGTACTACTAGGATGAAGGAGAGTCAATCTCTCTCTCTGGGCCCACAGAAGCCGGGATCAGCACTGGTTATTTTCTGAGTCCTTGGCACATGGAAGCCTGGCAAAAGGGAAGGTTTTGGTGAGATATGGATGGATGTGGGTAGGTAGGTGGGTAGATGGGAAGGTGGATGAGTGATGAATAGGTAAAGAGGTGAATGGGGTGGTCTCAAGGTTGGGCCCAGAGCACTTCCCTATAGGAAAGCCTGCTTTCTAGCACTCTCCTAGCCACCACCCTAATCCCTCAGGTCAACTGTAGGCCATACCTTAACTCCTCTTCTCTCATCCCATCTGCTATTCACCTTGGGCTGGACTCAACTGTCAGGAGATCTCTCAAGTCCATCCTCCTGACCTCTTCCCACATTGAACCTCATTATCCTTCTCTGGCATCATGGCCCCAGCATCCTTCCTGACAACCTGTCTTCTGTGGCGCCCTCCAACCTACCTTCCTTTTTACATACCAGAGATCTTCCTAGAACACATGTGACCATGACATTCTGTACTTGAAAACCTTCATTGCATCCTCATTTCTTGTGGGACAAAGTCTGGACTCCTTGGTCTGGCATTCAAGGCCCTGTCTCTCCTGGCTTCAAACTACTTATCTGCAGGTGTTTACATGGCCCAAGCCACCATTATCCTATACCACAGCCAAAGAGAGGATTTATGCAAATCCCCTCATGGCAGATGGATAGTAAAAAAGCCCACTTTTCCTGGTGAATGAATTAGAAATGGTGTCCATTGAGGGCAGAGGCAGTCCGCAGACAGACAGACAGACACACACACACACACACACACACACACGCACACAGAGAGGGCTTCCTGGGTGAGCAAGGGCTAAATGGTGGCCTTTGTGCACAACTGTTGCTGCCTCCCAGACGAAGCATGCACTATCCTGTAGGGAGGGACAAGGAAGCCTTCCCTTGCCTGTGGCCCTCTCCCTGGACTCTGAGCTCCTGCAGGGAAGGCTTCTATTCATCTATCACAAGCCCTTCTCACCACTTACTCCTCTCTGTCTCTTTGCAAGTCCCCCATGCCCCACACTCCATGCCATAGAGTGGGAACATAGTATGCCGGGAGGGCTCCCAGCTGAGACCTGGGGCCTTGGTTTCTGGTCTTAGGCCCAGCCCTAAGATGCTGGGGGAACTAGGCAAATCCTACCCCTACCCTGGGTCTCAGTCTTCCCTTCTGCAATCTCTGAGGATTGGATTCAGTGGACTAAAAGCTCTGATAAGGGACCCTGTGCCCTGGGAAGGGGCCAGAAACCACAACATCTGATAATTGATTAGGCCTGGAGAAATGCCATCCTGGAGGTGAGCCGTCTCTCTCTCATTTTCTGCATCACCTGATGCTGGGCCCAGAAGCACACGCTGCAGATAACCCTAGCATCTCCTGAGAAGTCTCTTTCGCCTGGGCCAAATGTCTCCCAAAGAGTGGTGCTGTTCTAGGAGAAAGTGAGTCCCTGTCACTGGCGAGCCCAAAACATACTAGATAGGTACTTGGCAGGATGTTGTAGAGGTCCTCACAGCTCTGACTGTAAATGCTCACAAATGCTTGCCCTGGCTACCTTGATTCCCCACTTTCCCTATCCCACCTCAGGAAGGCTGGACATGTGGCCAGGAGGTAAAGTACAGAGACCTGGAAGCCCTAATGGGACAGAACCAGCAGGGGGCGAGGTGAGGATGGGAATGAGACCGGCAGAAACCTCTTTCCCTGCCCTGAGTCTCCTGCTGAGTATCTCACCTCCACCACTGAAGGGGGGGCTGATGGCCCCTTCTGTCCCAGCACGTGGAGTGTTCTCTCTATGGCTACCCTACTCCAGCCCTGTGTCCCCCACCCCAAGGAGCAGGCACAAGGCAGAGCTCCAGCCCTGCTGTACACTGACTTGCTGTGTGACCACTGCTCCTCCCTGGGCCTCAGTTTCTCCATCTATACAATGTGGGGTTTTAGGAGGTCAAGGTCACCTCTGGGGCCCCTTTGGCTCAGACATTCTCTGGTTGTCAGCAGAAGGAGGGAGAACAGGCAGCATTCACACCTGATGCTCTGGGGACTCCATGGAGCAGGACCCCTATGGGGCGTGGAACTCCAGAAGCTTCTGGAAAGGCAGAACAGGAGTTTAGGCACAATACTGACCCCACCTACTGCTGTGTTCAGGGCCACAGGGCCTCCTCCTGGCCAGCTTGGGAAAGCCTCATCCTGGAGTCTGAGCTGGAGAGAGGGTGGTAAAGAGGCCAGGCTGAATGGTACAGATAGTTGGGGCACAGGAGGAGTGGGAGAAGAGACAAGATAGAGCCAGATCATGCAGGACCTTCCATGTGACACTCAGGAGCTCGGCTGAGAGCTGTGTGGGGAGCACAGGAAGGACTTGATGCAGGCAAGGGGCATGGTCAGGCACATGCTTTCTGAGTCACTCTGACTGGAGTATGGAGGGGGTGGATGGAGGCTGGGAGGCCAGAGGCTACTGCACTGGTCAGGAAGAGAGAAAGGAGTACTGAGGTGAGACAGTGGTCATAATTAGAACGGAATAGGGGTGAGGGAGGAATGGATTTAGGGAACACTTAAAGGGAGAGAGGATAGAACTTGGCATTTGACTTGCTCTGGGCTTGGGCACCCTAATTACTTCATAGATCACCTATGTAAATTTTACAGATGGGGAAACTGGGACCTGGAGATGATCAAGAACTTGCCAAAGATCACAGAGCTAGATAGTGGTGAAACTGGTCCAGAACCCAGGCTTCCTGGCTGCCAGCCCCAGACACTTTCCCATAATAACACAAATACTAGAGGTAGGACTATGCAGGTTTCCCAGCCTTGAATGCCAAGCCTGGGAATTTGGACCATTTCTGTGACCAATTAGGAGTCATTGCAGGTTCTTAATATTTGGCAGCATTTCTTGTTTGTCTTCCCCCAACCAGAAGGTTTCCAGTTGCTAAAATGCACAAACTGGCTGCTCCTAGGCCAACCCAACCCCTTCAGTCTTTATGGAGAAGAGAGAGGCATCCTTTCCTCTTCACAAAGAGAAAGCACAAAGCACTTAGAGGTAAAGAAACTCACCTAAAGCCACACAGCAAGTTAGCAGCCCAGATTTTCCCAACTCCCAGAATGGTTTTCCTAAACCCTGATAATGAAATCAAGAAGGCTAAAATTACTGGCCTAGAGAGGGGAGGGTCTGGTTCAAGGTAATCACAAGTGGGTAGCAGAGCAGGACCTAGAACCTGAGTCAGACCCCGGGGGCCAGTGCAATAGCCAGCTAGCTGTCTCCACTCCCCACCATCGCCTCCCTTCTGTGGCTGCAGTCCTGTGAGAAAGTCTGTATCCTGACTCTCTGCCTCCACAGTCATTGTGCCCTCATCTGTCTTGCCAGGGGCCAATGCTGGGACATCTCCAGGCTGCCTTCAATTATGAGCCAATAAATATGAGATGCGCTGTGCAATGAGCGGCTGCTCGGGCCGCCAGCTCCACCTCCACCCCCGCCAGCTTCTGTACCAGGCAAGATTGGATTTTGTGTCATTCATTTTTTATCTCTAGTCCCTGTCAGATGGGGAGATACATGACGTGGGCAGTGGATAATTTTATCCTTCCCTTGTGTAGCAGATGCAGCACTGAGGTGGAGCGTGGGATGTCCTCAGGTTGCCTGCTGCCCTCACATGAGGAGGTCCCCCACCCCCAACCCACTAACCCTGCACTCCTGTTCTCCACTGGAGCAAAATGGCATGTGTAGAGGAGAATCCTAGGCAGGAAGATGAGAGACCTGGGTTCAAGCCTCAACCCTGTTGCTGACCCCTTTTGCAACCTTGAGCAAGTGTCTGAAAATATTTGATGAGGCCTTCTTTATACCAAGCCCTGTGCAGGATGGCAGGGGGCCACAAAGAAGAATCAAACCCGATCCCTGACCTCAAGGAGCTAGCAGTTGACTCAAACAGACATCCCAAGGAGGGGTGGCATTCATTGGCACTGGGTGTGACGAATGAGAATTTGCCAGGTAGGATGTGAGGGAGGGGAGGGACAGAATACATTCGGGCTTAGGCAGAGGGAACTCCTTGAATAAAGCATGGCAGAAGGGAGTGCGTGACCAATGTGTGCTCAGAGACCTGCAAGTATGGCTGGGGCATAGGGTAGATGGAATGGGGGGAGAAAACCATTTTAAGCAGGTGAGTGTCATGATCAGATTTGACACTTTAGAAAAATTTTTTCTAAATTCACTTTAGAAAAATTTTTCTGACTACTATGTGAAAAGCAGATTTGGCAGTTAACAGAGAGTAAAGACAGAGAGCCCAGTGAGGAAGCTGATGTGATGGTTCAGGAGAGGGAAGACCATATCCTAGATAAAGCAATAACAGTGGAGCCAGAAATCATCATCATCATTATTATAATGAATACTATCATTAAGTGTTGCTAGGGACAGGCAGTCTTAAGTATGCACATCATTGTTTCTAATTCTCACAATAACTCTTCAAAGTAGATTATTATCCCCATTTTGTAGATAAGGAAATGAAGACTTGAATGTATTAAGAGAGTTGCCCTTAATATACAATCACACAGCCGATAAGTGATAGAGGCAGGATTTCAACCCAGGTCTGTCTAACCCTAAAGCCTATACCTGTCCAACCAGGTCTTTCTACTGTGTTCTACTTCCTAGAAAGGAAGGTACAGTTTCTAGAGAGCCTAAAGGGGCATAGACTCTACCATGGTTTGGATATTTGTCCTCTCCAAAACTTATGTTGAAATTTGATCCCCAGTGTTGAAGGCAGAGCCTAATGGGGGGCATTTGGGTCACGGGGGTGGACCCCTCATGAATAGATGAATGCCCTCCCTTAGGGGTGAGTTCTCAGTCTATTGGTTCTCATGACAGCTGGTTGTTAAGAAGAGCTTGGCACCTCCCCCCTCCCTCTTGAGAGCTTCCCCTCTCTCCATATGATCTCTATACACACCAACTCCCCTTCACCTTCACCCATGCGTGTAAACAGCCTGAGGCCCTCACCAGATGCAGAAGATGAATGCTGAGCTTTCCAGTCATCCAGAATTGGGAACCAAATAAGCCTTTTTTCTTTATAAATTATCCAGCCTTATATGTTCCTTTATAGCAACACAAAATGGACAAAGGCAGACTCCATCTGATTTTTGTGAATCTTTGGAAATGGAAAGCAAAAGACAGAGAGTGTTTAAAAATGATGTGCAAGCTTCTGGGCAGGAAGACTGAGTGGGGAGAGAGAGAGAGAGAGCACAAAAGGAGGAGCAGGCTTGGGAGAAACAGGTGAGTTTGGTTTTGGCCAGTTGAACAGGAGGGCAATTGAATATTTGGGTGTGGAGCCAGGACCTGTCTGGAAATAGAGATTTGGGAATTGCTGACAAATGAGTACTCACAGTATGTGAGTGGTTTAGGTCATTAAAGGGAGTGTGTATGGTGAATGGAAGATAAAGGGTGGGATCTTGGAGAATTCCAGACCTTAGAGGATGAGCTTAAGAGGGCAGATGAGAAAGTAGAGTGACGCAATATGAAATTGCTTCAGGAAGGTCAAGGAGTAAATGGTCCCTGATGCTGCCCAGCAGTCAGTAAGGTGAAAGCTAAAAACTTGACCTGGGTTTAGAGACCAGCAAGCAACAGTGGGGCAGAAGAGCTCCATGCAGCAGTCACTGGAAACCTTGGCAAGGTAGTCTTCATGGACACAGTGTTAACAAACAGTTGGAGGGACCTATACATACTCTACTTGTGGCCCTGAATTATCTCTGGGCTCTGGGCATGGGGAGAGTTTTGACCAGCGTTACTGGGACACTAGTAACTCCTATCCAACCTCTCCCAGACATCCTTAGCCAAGTGAGGGAAGTACCAGTATTAGGAAGGGAAACAGGAGAGATGGGGGTATGACAACTGAGAAACCACCAAGAAGGTAAAAAGGAGACTTATTTTAATACTGTTTACAAATAATTTTAGTTACCAATAAAGAACTCACAGTCCACCATGGCCGAAATGTTAAATGGGTGAAGAAGAATAAAAACTGTGTGGATGAAGTGAAACAGAACAGTGCAGGTATTGGTCTGTTGCCTTTAAGGACACTTTAGCTGTTGTCTTTATACTTGAATGATACCTTGGCATAACATTAGAGGGCATTTGAGCAGAAAAGCAAAACTCCAGCTGCATAGAGAAGGCTCAACTGAGGTGTCATCACCAATTGAGTTATACCAAAGTATTCAGTATTTATCTTTGCTCGTCCTTTAATCTTGCTAAAAAATTTGTTTCAGAACTACTAGAGCTGTGACATGTCTTACAATTTACAAAGCTGATTTCAAGTTTGATTGACAGGATTTTTAGGCTATTGAAGGGAGTATTTTTTTCCTTCGGAAATGTGGCAGCACAATCTTTCTAAGCTTAGGGCAGTTTAGGTAGAGGGGGCGGGGGAGTGGAGGTTGGTGTGAAGAGGGGTAAGGAAGAATAGCTAGCAAGTAGAGAAACTCAGGAAATTGGGCTATGACAGAGAGGAAGGAAAGAGTAGTGACTGCAGAGTAACATGGGTTTGAGGACACTTTTGAGATGGGAAAGTTATAAACACATTGAATGCTAAGGAGCCAGGGGAGAGAGGTAGCTTAAAGAGGTGAGGGAGGGATTGATGGAAGCAGTTCCTAGAGGAAGTAGGCAGAAAATGGGCTCCCAGGCCTTGAACTGGAGTGAGGCTTTGAATCCTGGCTCCACCAGGACCATGTGAGTTTGGTCCTTCCTTAAGCTAAGGCAGAGATTTGCAAAACAGCGATCCTGATAGTGTCTCTCCTATAGAGTTGTTATAAAGATTGAATAAGTTGATACAGATAAAGTGCTCAGAACAGCACCTAACACATGTTAAGTTCTTAACAAAAATTATCTGTTAGTGGTAATAAAAATCAGCTGTTAGCTAATTCATTTTGTAAAGCCAGAAAGAAAGGGGAAAATATTGGTGTGGCCTGTGGAAACTCCATTTGGAAGGGAGAAATGATGATAGAGTTCACACCAACAGCTTTGCTCTTGAGCAAAAGATTTGGAGTTAGAGCTGGGTTCACATCACTTCACCATGCTCAATCTCAGTTTTCTCATCTGGAAAAACTCCATCTCAAGGGAAGATTGCAAAGAGTTCTTAAATGGGTAAAGCACTGAGCATGGGGACAGGTACTTAGAGGTGCTCAGTGAATGATAGCTACTTATGAAGCTCTCCTACTCCCTTCCCAGTGACACAGACCTTGGCAGGGAGTCTGCCGATGGGGAGAGCAGAGCTGAGGTTGGGAGATTTAAGTGCAAAGTTTTTTGAAGAGCAGGGTGCTATAGAGGATTGGGGCAGGAGGATCACCCTACCCCAAGTCCAGGCTGGCCAGAGAAGGAAGGGAGGCCAAGAAAATCTGCAGGAATAAGAGGGATCCAAGGCTGGAGGCCTCTGCAAAGGTGAGGGAAAGGGGAGGGGCCGGGAGAAGGGTCTATGGTGGGAGAGGAAGGTTTCTGAGTTTCATTCAATCAGAGTTTTCTGAGTCCTATAGTATGCCAGGCACTGTTGTAGCACTTTATATACATGAGGTAATCCAACTTCAGCCCCTCCCTGCTGCCCATCCAGGGCATGTCACTCCCACAAATCTATGAGGGCCTTGCAGACCATAAACCAGTCTACAAATCTCTGGCAAGGTTGGGCAGGAAGAATCAGAGGGCCAATCAGAGTCCCTCTATCATGCATGTGAATTGAGCAGGATGGGGAGAAACTGCTGGTTTCTACAAAGGAGCCCAGAGGAACAAACTGTGGAGTTGAGTTGTAGCCATGAGCAGTCACATGTAAGAAAAAGTTGTGCTAGAACAGAGATTTTGAGGAAGCAGAAGCTGTGAGACAGACAGGAGAGAGGGAAAGAATACACCTATGAGTAGTGGAAGGTGAGCAGATAGCAACAGAGACCCATTGACAAAGAAATGGAGGAGAAGCTAGCCCCCAAGTGACCTGTGTTCCTTCCAGTGTGCAGGTTCCAGTTCCAGTCCCCAAAGTTGGCTCCTTCCCCAACCCACTTGGTTGGGCTCAAGTGGTTTGCTGTTCTTTGCAATGGAGTAAATCCAAATAAAGCCTATTCCCATTTTGCAGATGAGAAAACTAAGGCTGAGAGGGAAAATGACTTCTTCTTGGGATCCACCCCTGTCCCCCATCTCCCAGTCCCTTTTAGGTTCCTACTTGGGAGACTTGACATTCACGCAGGAAGTCCCCACAGTGGCTAAGGGGTTTTAGGGCTTGATGAGAAAGCAGGGAAGGGATTCACAGGATCCAGGCAGGAAGGACGAGGGCCAGACCTGAGCAGAGGGGGTAAGAATGAAAGTTGTCTCTGAGTGGATCCTAGATCTAAATAGGACCCAATAATCTCCTTGGAGACTCATGACTTCCTAGTAAAGTCAACGCCATCATCTCCATTGTACAGCTGGGAAAACTGAGGTTTGAAGAGGCTAAGTCACCTTCCCAAGGTCACATAGCCAGTAAGAGACAAAGCTGAGGCTTCCCCTCTGGTCTCAGACTCCAAGTGCAGGTCCTTCCTGCTGCTGTAGCTGCCCGTCTTTTCTGGAAAATCAGCTTCACTCAGAGAAGAGCTCTCAGCCAACCTTGCTGTAGAATGGTTGTGGCCTTGGCCCAGTCCAGTTGCCTCCCTCCCTGGATCTTTGCTGAGTGGGGAGGGGGTCCACTAGATGTCTGAGGTCTGCCTGCCTGCTCTTCTAGTGGGTTCCAGTCTCTCCACAGCTGGGCACCATCCAGGCTACTCCCCATCCTACCTTCTTTCTCTAATAATTAATCTCCAGCCAACAGTCCTAGCTGCAGTGCTTTCATCATCCAATTACCAGAGTTGCTGGCACAATAAATCTTAGTCACACAAATGCAGGCAAATCTGCAGCTATTTTCATGGCCATTACAGTGCATAGGACATTGGGACTCAGGTCATTTGCCTTTCTGACATGGAATCCTGCCCCCACCTCCTATCTTCCCCATCTTCTTTCATTTTTCAGTGGCAGCTGCCTCCCTCCCCTATCATCTCCCAAGCACCTGCTCCTCCCTTCCCCTCTTGGGCTGTAGGCCAAAGATCAGAAGACTGTGTGACCTCGGCCAAGTCAATTCTCTGACCTTCAATTTCTTCACCTATAAGACAGAAATAGCATGATTGACCTTATTAGGGTTTTGTGAAAAGTAAATAACCCAAGTGCAGTATACATCTCACTGGCGGCAGGTACGGCCTACTTCAGTGGTCTTTGCTATTTTTTTTAATAGCTATGTATATAATTTAATGTATATTAGGAAAGATATATAAAACCAATGATTTCATGAATATTATTCCTTAGGAGACCATTAATTAGGTATTTTCATAAAATATGCTAAAGAAAATTATTAAGAATCCATGGATTTAGCAAAAATCATGGAGGAGGCATATGAATGAGAGAAACTTGAGAAACGTTAACATAATGGCTGTGTGCTGCTTGCCTTCATCAATATTTGCTCTGTTCTCCACCTTCCCTCAGTTTCCGCAGAGGGGTATGTGGCACCCTACAGAAGGAGGGGACTCATTCTGTTCTGAAAGGCTAACTTGCTCTAGTACATGGCCCTTCATTCAAGTGAGAACCACCTCCCTCCCCCTGGGGCCTGTCCTATGCAGGCCCTGTGCTGGGTGCTGGGAACACACAGCTCAAACTGCAGCCCTGTGTTCAGGGAACTCCCAGGAACTCTTCTCTGAATCTGGCAAGGGAGCTGTCATTACCTTTACTTGACAGGATGTAGAGCAGGACTTTCCTTGAGTTCTGGATTTGTGGAGTTGCAGTGAAGGCCCAAAGCTGAGAACAAGAGGCTGTAAGACCACACTCTGTAAAGAGAGATATGAAGGAGCGTACACCTGCACACACACACAAAGAGAGGACATAGGAGGGAAGAGGGGAGAAGTCAGGGTGGCCTTGTGAACAGTGTGGTGTTTGTGCTGAGAGTCACTGCCATGATGGGGAATGGAGAGTGTGCCCAAGCCCTGCACAGAAGCTGGGCGTGCCTGCCAGAAAGGGAGCCTCACCTGGCATCCGGGCAGAAAGCCTGCTGCACCGAGAACTCACAGGCCCACCATGGGGCTGCCACTGAGCAGCACAGAGGTAAAGGAGTATCCAGTGGCAGGAAACCTGCTGAGAGGGTCTGGTCCGTCCAGTAAAGCCTTAAGGGAACATGGTGAGTTCTGCAGGAAGAATGCACAGGACTCTCTCCCAGTGTTTCCTGGCTTTAGGCAGGCATGGAAGATGACAGGAGTTTCCATGGCTCCATGCAAAGAAGCACACAGATTACAATAGGGGAAGGATTCACAGGGCTGTTCAGATGGCCTCAGACCAGGTAAGACTGACCCCACCTAAACAAGAGGCTGAACCGTGGGCCTCTGATGGAGTCCAAGGAAAACTCAGCTGCCCATCTCTGAGTGTGGCTTGGCAACAGCAGGCACAGAGGAGAAACTGAACATTGTGCCAGGAAAGTCATGCCCACCAACTCCCAGCTAACAACAGGTCGGCAGAGTCCATCAGCCTTGGAACCAGAAGCAGATCCCATGCTCACATGCACACACACATAGAACTTCTTCATCTGTAAAGCCACCATCCCTCTTGGGCATCAATTTCCCCCTGGGGACAAAAGAGTTTCAAAACTGACAAAAGAGTTTCCAAGCAGAGACTGCTGTTCTGCCACCAACCACAGGCATTACTGCTTAAAATTCCAGGGTGCCTGTGGCCTGCAGGAAGTTGGGGGAGATTGCCACCTGGTGGTCAATTTTGGCAATGCCATGGAGCTTGTAGCAGAGCCTGGGATTAGGAGTCCTCAGGCTCGCCTGGCCTGACTATCTGTATGACCTTGAGCAAGTCACTTCCACTCTTGGAGACTGTTTTCTCAACTAAAATGGGGAATAATGATGCCAGCCTTGCAGAACCATAGTGAAGATTAAACCCGCTGCACTACTGTGCCTGTCTTGAGCAGGGCCTCAGTAAAGGTTTGATTCACCTGGGGCTTGTTCCCACGGGATATGAGCAAGGGTCAGCTCCAGGAGACAGAGGGGGAGGTGAGCCACGCTCATGGAGATCCCCAGCTCCCCAGGTTTCTTTCACTGCCCGCCACCCAGGACCGTCTTTCTGTGTGTAAGGAACTGTTCTTAACCTAAACCTGGACAGCTCTTTGGATTCCAGAAGTTCAGAATTGTGAAATGCTGATTCTAGAGTCTGGATCAGGAGAGCTCATTCCAGGCCTAGTTCTTTTACCAACTTGCTGTATAGCTTTAGTCAGGTCACCTGGTTAATATCTGAGCTTTTGTTTTCTCTTTGTACAAAGCAGGTAATGATTCCTGCCCTGCCTTTCGGCTCTGCATTGTGCTATAACTCACTTTTTTACCCTCAACTCTTGAAGGAAAGTCTGTTACATGCACATGCTTGCGCCTGGTGCTTTGGGGAATGAGGCAGCAAGGGCAGCATCAGAGTCTGGAGCAAAACAACTCAGTCACAGTCACAAGAATGCAATAGCAGCAGGAATTAAGAGTGAGAGGTGATCAGAATATAAGCTCCCAGGAATTCTCAGGATCTTGGGAAAGACTCTATGCTTTGCACAGAATATAGGATGATGACTTGCAAAATCTTTTTCTTTTTTTTTTTCTTGAGACAGAGTCTCACCGTGTCACCCAGGCTGGAGTGCAGTGGCGAGATCTCAGTTCACTGCAACCTCCGCCCTCCGAGTTCAAGCAATTCTCCTGCCTCAGCCTCCCAAGTAGCTGGGATTACAGGTACCCACCACCACGCCTGGATAATTTTTTGTATTTTTAGTAGAGAGGGGGTTTCACCATCTTAGCCAGGCTGGTCTTTAACTCCCGACCTTGTGATCCACCCACCTCAGCCTCCCAAAGTGCTGGGATTACAGGCATGAGCCACTGCACCCGGACAGTGACTTGCAACATCTTAAGAAACTGAGGGAAAGTGTGATCCCAGAAGGGTGGAGGAGCAGACAATCTGAGGACTTCCATGTTACCCAGATCTCTGACTCACTAGAGGGACTGTTCTGGGACTTGCGGGACTGTTTGCTGGGAGCCTCACTCCCACATGGGAAGGACTGACTACAATATTATTATCCATACCTATCCACCTGAAGTTGTTCCCGAGCCTTGGACAGAGCTGTGCAGGGCCCATGGTCTCCTCTGACTACTCCTTACAGATACCTCAGATTTTAGGCTTTTGTCTTGCTAGCCCCAGACAGTCTTACAGATAATATGTCCTAATTTCTGAAAACAAATTCAGACCTAATCTCGTTTGGTAAAAGAGACCAAAATGATGAGTTCTCAACTCTGTACCCAGTTCAGGTGACCCTCTCAGGCTTGGGGACAAAGCTACTTGCCACTCGCCACTTACCCACAACTGCCCACCCTATCATTTTCACTTATATACACACTCATTCAACAAACTCTGTGAGGCCCATACTCTGTGCCAGGCCCTAGGCTGGGCACTGGGAACATAGAAAGGATCAGATGTGGTCCGTGTCCTTGAGGAGCTCACAGTCTAGAAAAGGAGCCATATATAGCAACAGAACATTCCACACAGAATGGGCAGTGCAACGTTAGAGGGGGCACAGTGGAAGGCCAGAAGTGGGCCTACCTGATCTGTGGTCAGGGCAGGCTCCCCAGTGAATGGCATATTTAAGTTAGATCCTGAGAGGAAAAGGAGGAATTCTATCAAAGAAGGAGAAAGAGCATTTCAGACAAAGCAAGGTGTACACAGAGGCATAAATACTGTGACCTGTTCAGGAACATTGGGCTGTGTATGGAGGACTGTTGTGGGAGATGAGGTAGAGAGATCAGGCCCTGAACACCAAGATAAAGGCTTCATCCTCCTGGTGAAGGAGTCATTATGTGGGAGAATGGATTGGAGGGTGGCAGGGAGCTGAAGGAGCAGTGAGGACCTGCTTGAGCAGTCTTGACTAGATGTGGCAGGCCCATAGCCTTCACTGCCTCCAGTCCCCCTAAGTGGGTCACTGTGGTTCCCTCAGACACAGGAGAGACCCCTTATGGCCCCGATCCCACTGACAGACTCTGCCTCCCGGGCCCACTGGCCCTGCCCAGACATGAGAGTGGTGTATTAGTCTGTTTTCATGCTACTGATGAAGACATACCCGAGACTGGGCAATTTACAAAAGAAAGAGGTTTAATCGACTTACAGTACCACATGACTGGGGAAGCCTCACAATAATGGTGGAAGGCAAGAAGGAGCAAGTCACATCTTACATGGATAGCAGCAAGCAAAGAGAGGGCTTGTGAAGGGGAACTCTGCCTTATAAAGCCATCAGACCTCATGAGACATTTACTATCACGAGAACAGCATGGGAAAGACCTGCCCCTGTGATTCAATTACCTCCCACTGGGTCCCTCCCACAATATGTAGGGATTTAAGATGAGATTTGGGTGGGGGCACAGCCAAACCATATCATTCTGCTCCTGGCCCCTCCCAAATCTCAGGTCCTCATGTTTCAAAACCAATCGTACCTTCCCAACAGTCCCCCAAAGTCTTAACTCATTCCAGCATTAACTCAAAAGTCCACAGTCTAAAGTCTCATTTGAGACAAGGCAAGTCCTTTCCACCTATGAGCCTGTAAAATCAAAAGCAGGTTAGTTAATTCCTAGATACAGTGGGAGTACAGCCATTCCAAATGGGAGAAACTGGTCAAAACAAAGGGGTTACAGGGCCCATGCAAGTCCAAAATCCATCAGGGAAGTCAAATCTTAATGCTCCAAAATAATTTCCTTTGACTCCCTGTCTCACATACAGGTCATGCTGATGCAAGAGGTGGGTTCCTATGTTCTTGGGCAGTTCTGCCCCTGTGGCTTTACAGGGTACAGCCTCCCTCCTGGCTGCTTTCACAAGCTGACATTGAGTGTCTGCAGCTTTTCCAGATGTACAGTGCAAGCTGTCAGTGGATTTACAATTCTGGGGTCTGGAGGACAGTGGCCCTCTTCTCATGGCTCCACTAGGCAGTGCCCCAGTAGGGATTCTGTGTGGGGGCTCCAACCCCACATTTCCCTTCTGCATTGCCCTAGCAGAGGTTCTCCATGAGAGCCCTGCCCTTGCAGCAAACTTCTGCCTGGACATCCAGGTGTTTTCATACATCCTCTGAAATCTGGGCAGAGATTCCCAAATTCCACTTCTTGACTTCTGTGCACTGGCAGGCTTAACACCATGTGGGGCAGGAACCATCACATACGCATTGTGCACACATTATGGGCTAATATGATTACTGTAGGAAAAAATAATAATGAGGGCAGCTCCCATGTTTTGAACACTGTGGAAACTGCCAAGGCTTGATGTTTGCACTCTCCAAAGCCATGGCCCGAGCTCTACATTGGCCCCTTTCAGTCACAGCTGGAGCAGCTGAGACGCAGGACACCAAGTCCCTAGGCTGCACACAGCACGGGGACCCTGGGCCCAGCCCATGAAACCATTTTTCCCTTTAGGCCTCCAGGCCGTGATGGGAGGGGCTGCCATGCAAACCTCTGACATGCCCTGGAGACATTTTCTCCATTGTCTTGGGGATCAACATCCGGCTCCTCTTTACTTATGCAAATTTCTAGAGCCAGCTTGAATTTCTCCTCAGAAAATGGGATTTTCTTTTTTATCGAATTGTCAGGCTGCAAATTTTCTGAACTTTTATGCTCCACTTCCCTCATAAAATTGAATGCCTTTAACAGCACCCAAGTCACCTCTTGAATGCTTCACTGCTTAGAAATTTCTTCTGCCAGATACCTTAAATCATCTCTCTCAAGTTCAAAGTTCTGCAAATCTCTAGGGCAGGGGCAAAATACCACCAGTCTCTTTGTTAAAACATAACAAGAGTCACCTTGGCTCTAGTTACCAACAAGTTCCTCATCTCCATCTGAGACCACCTTAGCCTGGGTTTCATTGTCCATATAATTATCAGCATTTTTGTCAAAGCCATTCAACAAGTCTCTAGGGAGTTTCAAACTTTTCCACATTTTCCTCTCTTCTTCTGAGCCCTCCAAACTGTTCCAACCTCTGCCTGTTACCAAGTTCCAAAGTAGTTTCCACATTTTTGGGTATCTTTTCAGCAATGCCTCACTCTACTGGTACCAATTTACTGTATTAGTCAGAGTTCTCTAGAGGGACAGAACTAATAGAACAGACATACAAAGGGGAGTTTATTAAGTCACATGATCACAAGGTCCATAGTAGGCCATCTGCAAGTTGGGGAGCAAGGAAAGCCAGTCTGAGTCCCAAAACTGAAGAACTTGGAGTCTGATGTTTGAGGGCAGGAAGCATTCAGCAAGGGAGAAAGATGTAGGCTGGGAGGCTAGGCCAGTCTAGTCTTTTCCCATTTTTCTGCCTGCTTTATAGTCTAGCTATGCTGGCAGCTGATTTGATGGTGCCCACCCAGATTAAGGGTGGGTCTGCCTTTCCCAGCCCACTGACTCAAATATTAATCTCCTTTGGCAACACCCTCACAGACACACCCAGGATCAATACTTTGCATCTTTCAATCCAATCAAGTTGAGTCCGTTTTAACCATCACAAGTGGGAAGAAGGCAGGGAGGGGAACAAGCTCACTTTATCTCCATCTCAAGCCCATTACACAAATGCATTCTAGATCCTCTCAATAAGCTAAGAGGTGAGAGTTGTGCTCACTTTACCGAGGAAGAAAAGTAGGCTCAGAATTTAGTGAATTGCCCAAGGTCTCACTCAGCTAGTTAAAAAAGGCAGTGGGTGGGTGGGGAGAGGAAGGAAGGAGGGAGGGAAGGGAGGGCTTAAAAAAAGTGCTAAAACTTGAGTTAGAATTTAGAATTTAGAATAGTGCTAAAACTTCTGCTCAAAGCTCCTCTTCACTGCAAGCATAACCTTAATTTTTCTCTCTTCTCTAAGAGAGAAATGACATTCTCCTAAATGTCATTTAAGTGTTTTCCTCCCTACCTCCCAGTCTTGTCACAGAAAATAGATTTTACTATATTCCTATCCCAAGATCAGAGGCCCCACTATCCAGTACAGAGGTCTTTTTCAAGAGTGGTCTAGAGTGCTCTAGGCAGAGCAGGCATATCCTAGAGGCATCCCCGCATAGCCCTGAGAGAGGAGAACTCAGAATGGCTCACAGGCCCAGGTCAACCTCTTTCAGACAGTACAAGGAGAGCCAGCCTTTGGCCCCAGTATCCCCAAAGAAGCCAGGCAAGGACTCCTCAGCCCGGCATCCTCAGGCAGCCATGATTAGCCCTACCTCAGACACCCCAAACCAGGATTTCCCAAGGTCTACCCTGTGCTAATTAGAAAAGGTGCCCCTTCTGACAGTTGCAGCCTTATAATTCCAAGGGCTGGGAGCTCAACTCTTGGCTGGATTTCAGGCCTCATTTGCCTCTTGGTCAGATACCTCTGTATGGGGCACCAACAGTAGCAGCCCTGCTCAAACACATCCACCTATCTGAGCCCCTGAATCTGGAACCTATCTGTCCCTAGCTGGTGGAATCAGCCTCAGCACCTTAGCAAGTATAAGTGTGTCTGCAGCCCCATCAAGTTCAGGAACTCTGACAAGGATCTGCCCCAACTCTGGGCCTAGTACAAGACCTATGCCCTCTCATTTGGAATGCCTGAAGCACTGGGATACTCACTGGCATTGGAAGCAGACATGGAAGCCTACCCTCCCAAGAGCTGTAAGGACATTGTAGCTTTCCTCTAAGTGAGCATCTTCATATGA